GAGTACCTTTATCCGCTTGTAACATCAGGAAATCGGTGATGGCCTTTCGCTGTTCGTAAAGGCGGTTAACATATGTAGGGTTGAATTCCACCTTGTTGCAACGTCACAGCATGAGGAGTCGGTACGGGGGCCCATGGCAGATTACGGGCCTGGCAGCAGCAATGGGAGGCCCGTAATCTGCCAGCACCCTATGACAAAATGGAACCCACCAGCAGTGTGAGGAGACCTGAAAGTGGCACATGGCAGAGTGTGGCGATGGAGACAGCAGCAATGGGAGGCAGTACAGGGACCCATGACACACTCTGGACCTGGCAGCAGCAAGAGGAGGCGGTACAGGGGCCCATGGCAGAGTGGCGAAGCGTAAGCAGCTTAAATTGAAGGCCATACAGAGGCCTATGTTAAAAATAATAACATGTTTGGGGCATGATTCATGGCGGATTTAGTCAGTTGTGTCAGGAACTGGTGGTTTGAAATCCAGACTAATCCACGCCTGATTCATTTTTCACAAATGTGAGTCTCTCCACACTTTGGGTGGACAGTCGTGTCCTCCGCGGAGTTACAATACCTCCTGCCGCACTAAACACGCGCTCCGATGCCACGCTACTGGCCGGGCATGACAGCCTTTCAAGGGCAAATTCAGCTAGTTGGGGCCAAAGGTCAAGTTTCGTTGCCCAGTAGTCAAGGGGATTGTCTACCTCGGTTGGCAGGGTGCTGTCCAAGTAGGCCCAAGCCTGTTGTTTGAGGTCCTGCTCCAGGTCCACCTGATGCTGCTGCTGCTGCGGCTGGTTAGTAGTTTCCTCACTGCGCTGGTGAAGAAAGCTACTCATCATCGACTGCAGACTGAGGCAGCCGCTGCTGGTGGAGCTGCCACTGCTCCTACCACCCCACCCCTCCCCTGCTGCCATGGCAGCGGAACGCGAGCGCACAGGGCCCACAGTGTCTGAGGATGGACATTGGCGCAGAAAGGCAGAGACCAACTGACTACATAGGTGGTTTTTATAGTACGTTATTTTGGCCTCCCTCTCAGCAGGTGTGAAAAAGGCCACCATTTTTGAATGGTAGCGAGGTCCAACAAGGTGGACAGCCAAAAGTCATCCCTCTGTCTGATGGTTATTATTCGGCTGTCGCTACGCAAGCAACCGAGCATGCTATGGGCCATTTGTGCCAAAGAATGCGAGGGACTCCCTGCCTCCATCTCCACAGCATACTGCCACGGTGCGTCTGGGTCCTCTGTCTCCTCCTCCTCCTCTCTACCAGATGCTCCTGCTCCTCCACTCCTGTCCGCTGAGTGGAAAAACCACCCATTTCACTCAATAATTCCTGAGCACCAATGTCCTCCTCTACCTCCTCCTCTTCTTCTTGTCCTGCCCCCACAGGGGTCATGTGGCGTTGAGATCTGTGCGCCACGTCTACCGCACCCTGACCAGCCATTGTTAACAGCATTTGTTCCAGGACGTGCAACAGAGGAATGACGTCGTTCATCCCCCATAGTCCTGCCGACTCACGAATAGCGTGGCCTCCTCAAAGGGCCTGAGCAAGCGGCAGGTGTCACGCATGAGCTGCCAATGGCTGACATCTAAGTTACACAGGGGAGTACCTTTATCCGCCTGTAACATCAGGAAATCGGTGATGGCCTTTCGCTGTTCGTAAAGGCGGTCTAACATATGTAGGGTTGAATTCCACCTTGTTGCAACGTCGCAGATCAGGCGATGCTGTGGAATTCCGTTCTGCCGCTGCAGCTCAAGGAGGGTGTGCTTTGCGGTGTAGGAATGGCTGAAATGCATGCAAAGTTTACGTGACATTTTAAGGATGTCTTGCAGTGGGATGGTGGATTTTAGGAACCGCTTGACAACCAGATTGAACACGTGAGCCATGCGTGGCGCATGGCACAACCTTCCTTGACGCAGAGCAGACACCATGTTCTTTCCGTTGTCGGTCAACATGGTTCCGATTTTCAGTTTGCGCGGAGACAGCCATCTGTCGATTTCTCTGTTCATTACACTCAGAAGTTCCTCCCCTGTGTAACTACGTTCGCCAAGGCATACCAGGTGCAGCACAGCGTGACACCGTTGCGCCCTGCACATGTGATATGCCGGTCGGGTAATGGGACTTGGCACGGGGGTGGCGGCTGAGGACACAGCGGAAGAAGAGTGGTGGTAGAGGCGGACATCTTTTGTGGACCAAGGACGTGCAAACGTGGAGGCAAAAGCGGCGTGACCTGTCCAAGTTGCTGGTGCGGCTGTGCTGGCACCACGTTCACCCAGTGGGCCGTAAATGACATGTACTGTCCCTGACCGTAGTTACAGCTCCACACGTCCACTCCTCGCCAGTACTTCTTCGCCTGGCTGCTGAAGAGGCGGATGTCTCCCCCCGTTCCTGACCGCCCTCTGTTAGCTCTTCCTCACTGTACAGTGGGGCTGAGCCCACAGCATGCGATACTTCGCTTGGTGAGGGAACACCAAAGGACAGGGGCAGGTAGAGGACACGTGATTTCAGTGGGCTTGCTCCCGGGCCATGCCAACTAACGGTTGTGTCTGACGTACCCACCGACCGTTGGCTGTAGGTGTCAGAGGTGACCTGGGAAGAGGAAGACGACCGAGCCAACCAATCGATGACGGCAGGGTTGTCGGTGGAGACACGACCGCTGGATGACACCGGGAGCACTGGCCTCTGGCTGCTGCGACTAGTGCTGCCTCGACCCCTTCCTCTGCTGCCACGTCTGCTCGCTCCTGAAACATTGCCTCCTCTGCCACTCCTCTGCGTGTTGTCTGACATACTCTTTAATTCAACGATTCTGTGACCCTGAGTAACGATTCTGTGTCCCTGAGTAAACAATTCTGTGTTCTGTAATGATAGTCTGTCCCTGAGTAACAATTCTGTGTCCCTCAGTAACAATTCTGTGTCTGTCCCTGAGTAACAATTCTGTGTCCCTCAGTAACAATTCTGTGTCCCTCAGTAACAATTCTGTGTCTGTCCCTGAGTAACAATTCTGTGTCCCTGAGTAACAGTTCTGTGTCCCTGAGTAACAATTCTGTGTCCCTGAGTAACAATTCTGTGTCCCTGAGTAACAGTTTCTGTGTCCCTGAGTAACAATTCTGTGTCCCTGAGTAACAATTCTATGTCCCCCTGAGTAACAATTCTGTGTCCCTCAGTAACAATTCTGTGTCCCTCAGTAACAATTCTGTGTCCCTCAGTAACAATTCTGTGTCTGTCCCCTGAGTAACAATTCTGTGTCCCTCAGTAACAATTCTGTGTCCCTCAGTAACAATTCTGTGTCTGTCCCTGAGTAACAGTTCTGTGTCCCTGAGTAACAATTCTGTGTCCCTGAGTAACAGTTCTGTGTCTCTGAGTAACAATTCTGTGTCCCTGAGTAACAATTCTGTGTCCCTCAGTAACAATTCTGTGTCCCTCAGTAACAATTCTGTGTCCCTCAGTAACAATTATGTGTCTGTCCCTGAGTAACAATTCTGTGTCCCTGAGTAACAGTTCTGTGTACCCCTGAGTAACATTTCTGTGTCCCTGAGTAACAATTCTGTGTCCCTCAGTAACAATTCTGTGTCCCTCAGTAACAATTCTGTGTCTGTCCCTGAGTAACAATTCTGTGTCCCTCAGTAACAATTCTGTGTCCCTCAGTAACAATTCTGTGTCCCTCAGTAACAATTCTGTGTCTGTCCCTGAGTAACAATTCTGTGTCCCCCTCAGTAACAATTCTGTGTCCCTCAGTAACAATTCTGTGTCCCTCTGTAACAATTCTGTGTCTGTCCCTGAGTAACAATTCTGTGTCCCTCAGTAACAATTCTGTGTCCCTCAGTAACAATTCTGGGTCTGTCCCTGAGTAACAATTCTGTGTCCCTCAGTAACAATTCTGTGTCCCTCAGTAACAATTCTGTGTCCCTCTGTAACAATTCTGTGTCTGTCCCTGAGTAACAATTCTGTGTCCCTCAGTAACAATTCTGTGTCCCTCAGTAACAATTCTGTGTCCCTCAGTAACAATTCTGTGTCTGTCCCTGAGTAACAATTCTGTGTCCCTCAGTAACAATTCTGTGTCCCTGAGTAAACAATTCTGTGTCCCTGAGTAACAGTAGTAACAGTAACAGTTCTGTGTCCCTGAGTAACAATTCTGTGTCTCCCTCAAGAGTAACAATTCTGTGTCCCTCAGTAAACAATTCTGTGTCCCTCAGTAACAATTCTGTGTCCCTCAGTAACAATTCTGTGTCCCTGAGTAACAATTCTGTGTCTGTCCCTCAGTAACAATTCTGTGTCCCTCAGTAACAATTCTGTGTCCCTCAGTAACAATCTGTGTCTGTCCCTGAGTAACAATTCTGTGTCCCTGAGTAACAGTTCTGTGTCCCTGAGTAACAATTCTGTGTCCCTGAGTAACAATTCTGTGTCCCTGAGTAACAATTCTGTGTCCCTCAGTAACAATTCTGTGTCCCTCAGTAACAATTCTGTGTCCCTCAGTAACAATTCTGTGTCTGTCCCTGAGTAACAATTCTGTTTCCCTCAGTAACAATTCTGTGTCCCTCAGTAACAATTCTGTGTCCCTCAGTAACAATTCTGTGTCCCTCAGTAACAATTCTGTGTCTGTCCCTCAGTAACAATTCTGTGTCCCTCAGTAACAATTCTGTGTCCCTCAGTAAACAATTCTGTGTCTTTCCCTGAGTAACAATTCTGTGTCCCTGAGTAACAGTTCTGTGTCCCTCAGTAACAATTCTGTGTCCCTGAGTAACAATTCTGTGTCCTCCCTGAGTAACAGTTCTGTGTCCCTGAGTAACAATTCTGTGTCCCTGAGTAACAATTCTGTGTCACCTCAGTAACTGTGGTCCCTGAGTTCTGTGTCCCTGAGTAACAGTTTCTGTGTCCCTGAGTAACAATTCTGTGTCCCTGAGTAACAATTCTGTGTCTGTAACATTCTGTGTCCCTGAGTAACATGCTCTGTGAGTAACAATTCTGTGTCCCTGAGTAACAATTCTGTGTCCCTCAGTAACAATTCTGTGTCCCCTCAGTAAACAATTCTGTGTCCCTCAAGTAACAATTCTGTGTCCCTCAGTAACAATTCTGTGTCCCTGAGTAACAATTCTGTGTCTGTCCTGAGTAACAATTCTGTGTCCCTGAGTAACAATTCTGTGTCCCCTGAGTAACAGTTCTGTGTCCCTCAGTAACAATTCTGTGTGTCCCTCAGTAACAATTCTGTGTCCCTCAGTAACAAATTCTGTGTCCCTGTAACAATTCTTGTGTCCCTGAGTAACAATTCTGTGTCCCTGAGTAACAGTTCTGTGTCCCTGAATAACAATTCTGTATCCCTGAGTAACAATTCTGTGTCCCCTAAGTAACGATTCTGTGGCCCTAAAGTCAGTCTGTGTGGCCCTAACTCTGTCCCTAATACAGAGAGGTCCTGTCTCTCTTGAATGAAGGCTAATTCTGTGGCCCAATTCAAGAACATTCATTTGTGGCCTCCTAAAGTCTCTATTTGCCCTAACGACCTAATACAGAGAGGTTGTCTCTCTTGAATGACCGGTAGTGGCTAATGGAGAATTCTAAGTGGCCGCAATTTATTGCTCGACCATTACACAGTGCTGGCTGGCTGGCTGCTGATTGGCTAATGCGATCACATGTCATGAATGAATGCATTATGGGTCAGCGCGCCTTGTCTGCGTGCCTTCCCAGAGATCCCCGCTCCGTCGCCACACATGTCGCCGCCATTTTTGGAAAATTTCGATTCGCGCCGAATCCGAAAATTGCAGACTAATGCGCGAATCGGATTTTCCAAAAATGGCGCGACATCAAATTTTTCCTAATCTTCGAAACGAATTCCACTTCGCCAAGTTCGATTCGCTCATCTCTAATTATGATGATGGAAGGAAGCATGAAGGTATGAGCATAGCTCTTCGATAAAATGTGTACATTTGAGTGTGGTATCGACTTTGTTAGGGTTTGCCTTATTGGTAGATCCTTCTTTGCGTATCTGATCCAGAAATTAGTTTAATTTCTGTGCTCGGTCTCTCTTCGCACAGGCACCCAGCCTGATAAAGACAACCCTAATATAAGATTTATGAGCATTCCAAGAAGCGGATCATTTGTCACAGAACCTGTAATAATGCTAAAGTAAATCTCAATTTCATATTTAATCTGTTCCCGGTATACAGGGTTTGTTTAGCATAGAGGTATTCATACTCCAGGCCGTGTGTCGTTTGCCTTCTGGTTTAAGAACAAGGGAGATGGTTAACGGAGCGTGGTCTGACTACGTGATTAAACCCAATTGTTGCCTGGGATACAGCTTGTAACGTAATCTTATGCACCAGGAAGAGATCAATTCTGGAACAAGACTTTTATCCAGCAGATTAAAAAGTATAGTCTCTCTCTGTGCTATGCAGGCACCTCCAGGGATCAAATAGGTCTTCTGCATGTATGAATGAGGAATGGGCTGAGGGTCTGGATCTGCGTATGTTGGAGGAGTTTAAGACTCCATCATCAATATCATTAAAGTCTCTGCATAAAATCACTCGGTCTTTTTTGGTATTGGAGAAGTTTGTTCTTAACCAGATGAAAAAAGGATTTACGATGAGCGTTAGGGGCATATACTGTATGTTAGCTATTGTGAGGGGCATATTGTCTAGCAATGCAGACAGGATAATAAATCTGCCCAAGGGATCCACCTCTACATTTTAAAATTGAAAAAGATATGGAATTATGTATGGCAATCATAATTTCTCTGACTTCTTTGGTGGCGTTGGCGAAAAAAACTGATGATGGGGGGGGGGGTCTTTCCCTTGTGCAAAGTGTGTCTCTTGTACACAAATAATGGCAGTTTTTTGAGTCAATGCTTCTTGCCATAATCTTGATCTTTGATAGGGACTATTAAGTCCTTTGGCGTTAATGGTAGTTATGCGGAATGTTATGGCAGTCTAAGTCTAGCGGTAGAAATCAAAGCAAGAGAGAGGCTACTATGTGCAAATATTACAATGCAAATAATGTTATGATCAAATAAGTAAGGAAGATACCCGGGTAAAGCTTCTTGAGAGGTGGCATCAGTAGTAATAAGCACAAACAAAAGAGAAGCAGTGTGCGTGGCACACGTGAACCCTGGGACATGTGAACAATAGAGAGTCTCAACAGGCTACACTGCCAGGGTGTAGGTTACCAGGTGATGCTACTGCATCCAAAGCAGCCTGAGATGAGAACGATACATAGGCACTTGAGTTATGTTGCTGTTCAGATTATTTATGTGCTCTTATTAGGCAAGTCATACTGAGGGGTGTTAGGCCTTGCTGATGTTGCTGACATCCTCTAGTTATTAAGTTGTTTGTGTCCATCTTTAGGGGAGGTAAGTGCTGTTTGTTGATTTTAATAAGTAACTGATAACTTGGTCAGAAAACCCCAGCGATAAACAATATTGCGTTCCCGCAAGGTTGTAGTGATCGGGGAGAATTCTTTGCGCCTTTGAGCAGTGGCTGCGGACAAATCTTGTTATAATAAGGTCACTCTTGCATACAGCGGGGACAGCAATTTTATGGATCTGGAAGCTCCCATTAGACAATCTGGGATAAGTTTAAGGAATAATTGCTGTAAGTAAGTGATTAGATCACTGTTTTTGACAGCTTCAGGAATCCCTCTTAACTTAATGTTGTTGCGGTGGGAACGATCTTCCAAGTCCACAAGTTTACATATCGTTTCTGTCTGTTCATCATATGCATCTGCAAGGTCATCATGTGCTTTTGCAGCCAGATTAAGCTGTGATTCTAGGTGTTCTGTGTGCTCTTCAATGTTATCTAATCTGTTAGACAATCTGGAAATAGAGGAGCACAGCTCATGTTGAAAGTCAGCCTGGAGGGTAAGGAGCATAGCTTTAAGAGTGCTTTCTGATGCAGGTGCATCTGAGGTGGGGAAGGCAGCAAGTGATTCAGTATTCTGTTCAGCCAAAAGATTATGACTATGTGTTGTGGCAGCCCCATGCAGCTTTTTGGCAGATGGAGGTTTAAGAGGCGAGTGTGCAGGGGATATTGCTGCTCTCTTACCTCTGTCAGCTTGCAATGAAGGAGCGGAGTTTGGAGCTTCCTCCTCCATGTCAGAGAGTGCCTGCTGTGGTGATTCACCCTCTGTATGTACTGGAGCAGGATGGCCACTGTTCCTGTTGGTGCCATCTTGGCTCTGTTTGGGAGCTGGCTGCATAAAGTAATCCGTCAGTCGTCTGGGTCCCTGAGTTCCTTTTTTCTTGCGGGACATAACCCGCTGTGTGCACTGTGACTGTGCCTCCTTCATGGAGGTGAAAGTGAGAAGCAGCAGTGCTGTGTGCCGCTGTGTATGCCCTGGTCAGTGCAGAGCTAGGCAGCTATTCCTCTCAGCAGCAAGGACATGCCCAATATCTCCCAATATTTTATCTAAGGATAAGGAAAAGCCTTTGGAGAACATCTATGGTAGGATCCCTCTATCAAAAGTGCAGGGGGTGGACTTAGCTCATTAGTGTCATGTCCCTTACCTAGTTGCTGACCCCCCTATAGCAAAAAATGGCTGCACTGAGGTCAGCTAGTTATGGGAGGGCATCCATGGATGTCCTCCCAGAACCATGCCCCCCATGCGTGCATCGGGCCAAATCTTTTATCGCTGTGCCCTGTGGACACAGCTGACATAGATCATGGTAAAGGCTCAATCAGAGCAACCCTTTACCATGTGGCCAGCTGTGTCCAATCACAGCTGATCACAGTTTAAACAGAAAATGACGGTTATTGGCAGTCCTCTCCTCATGCTGACATCACGTGACGAGAGGAGAGCCGGTAAGTAGCGATCTACACAGGGTACATCTACACTGATAATCAGTGCCTTCATTATCAGTTTAGCCCCATCAGTGCCACCTTTCAGTGGCCATCAGTGCTGGCTATAACTGCCCATTAGTGCTGCCTATCAGTGCTGGCTATCAGTGCTGTCTATTAGTACCCATTTGTGCCACCTATCATCACCCATCAGTGCCACCTTTCAGTGCCCATTAGTGCTGTCTATCAGTGCTGTCTATCAGTGCTGTCTATTAGTACCCATCTGTGCCACCTATCAGTGCCCATCAGTGCCACCTATCAATGCCCATCAGTGCCACATATCGGTGCCCATCAGTGCCGCATATCAGTGCAGCCTCATCAGTGCCTCCGCATTAGTGTCTATCAGTGCTGCCTCATCAGCCCACATCAGTAAAGGAGAAAAATCACTTATTTACAAAACCTTGTAACAGAAACTAAGGAAAACTTTTTTTTTCTTTAAAATGTTTGGTCTTTTTTTGTTTGTATAGCAAAAAATAAAAACCACAGTAGTGATTAAATACCACCAAAAAAGCTCTATTTGTCTAAGACAAAAGATTTAAAAAATAGTTTGGGTACAGGGTTGCATTACCATGCAATTGTCATTCAAAGTGCAACAATGCTGAAAATTGGCCTGGGCAGGAAGGGGGTGAAAGTGCCCGGCAGGCAAGTGGTTAATTCCCTCACTACATGACACCTCACTGAGCTGTGTGTGCAGAGATGATGGCAGGTGGTCAGGTGCTGCCTGCAATTCCATCCCCAGGTGCCTGCTTGGAGGCAGGTTTTTGTTTGCCCTGTTCCATGAGCCTGTGGTGGATAGTGATAGGAGCTGCTGCAGACATGTTATATGTTGCAGAGGGTCTCCTGTCAGCAATTAGTGACTGGAGTGGAGCTTAGTCAGCAAGCTCCACTTCTATCACCCATTTTAAGATGCAAGCATGTCCTGTCTCAGCACTATTTTGACACACAAATGATTTGGCTCTCACTTTTATACCTACAACTAAAGCAAGATGTACTTTTCTATTTTTGTGCAAATATCTCCAACCTCATTGTTAGAATTACACAGATTCAAAGAGAGCAAAACGTAGGGTTTTTTTTTTTGGTTTAGAGTGTGAAGACTAGAGCCTCTACCTGATTTTTCCTGCAAACTGTGACTTAATTACAGCAATTTTAACTCACTTTGTGTCTAGTTGACAATGTTATAACTGAAAGGAAAATTAAGATACATTCCAACAGCAACACAGATAGAGATAAAAACAACATTTTTAAGTAGCATAACCTCTGTCAGATATTTATTGCTATCTGTTTGACTGAAGCCCTGTCTGGTAAAACATTCCCACTTTAGAAATAGGAAACCAACAGGAGTTAGAATGTTTCCCTGCTATACTCCAAATAATTAAATGGATGTTGACATTTAAATAAAGTCTAGATGTGTACTCCAAAATCAAACATCAGTTTGCTGTCATTAGCTCAGCAGAACAGGGAGACTCTTCAAGGCACATCCTAGAACTGCTAATGGCTGGAACTGCTAATGGCTGCCAGATACTTTTAAAACAAAAATCCCACCCTTTCCTTCATCAGCTTGCTGGAAGATAAGATAACATCAGTGTACTTTATCTGTAGCTCAAACAATGGGGATGCTATCATATGGGGTGTATGAGGCAAGTGTAGGAAATCTAGGATGGGGAATATGACCCAG